AGGACCTAAATGTGTTGCTTTGCCTGCAGAACAGAAGTCATTTAGTCGAATCTGACCCGCTCAGCCACTATAGTATCCCCAATAATCCACCCGGGGGGGGGAGAATATCTTATTGGCGAGTGGGGTGGGAGGCTGGCCTCGACTGAATAAACTAAAGCTGCTTTCCCATCAGATGTTTAGGCAGATGTTTCAGGAAGGGTAACAGTCCCCAGAGCTGATCTCCTAGAAAGACGTGGGGAGAAGAATCTCCTGTTTGATAAAAGAGTGAGAAAGAGGCTGTGTGTGGCTTAAGCAGCAGAGTCAAGTTACAACACGTTACGCTGCAGAAGTACAGCTTTTGCTTTGCTCGCCTGAAAATTGATTGGGTTTATCCCAAGAACATTCCCTAAAAGGAGTTCAGGTGATGAAGGAGGAGATGAGTACGGAAAAGAACCAGTTCATTCAAACCCGTTGGACCTTTTTGAGGGTCTGTTACAAAAGGGTCGAATCAAGTATGTCGTGGGGATAATTGGGCACATTATTTGAATTTGGGTAGTTACTTAGTTGTCTAGACAGGAAGTGCCTGGAGGAAACTGCAAATGACTGGGTGGGCTTGTGTCTTTACCCCAGTAGGGTCCTCTGCTTCAGCAAAAAGGCTAAAAAACTCATGTTAGCTTCATTTTTTCCCCCCGTTTTATAGAGCACACAGTAAAGCTTACTTTGACAATATACACGAGAATTTTTAAATGTTCTGTAACACGTAAATCCTTGTCCAGGAAAGTAGATTGTTCTTGGCCTGGAATTTTGAGTGAGAAGAGCAGAAGCAGTGACTCTCATTAAAATTTTAGGCTTTTCCTCCCAGCCGAAATACTGGGCAGAATCATCAGATATTCCCAAAAGAGGGATTTAAGATAGTTTTCAGTCCACTTTAGATTTTCTGTGGAACGTTTTAATTTTATTTAACTTCTGAATATTCATTGTTTGGCTGCTTAAGTTAGAAAAAGGTGAAGTAGGGGTTGATTTTCTTTCAAGCTGAAATGCATACTCAAGAATGCAAAACTGTTTTTAACTCTGGCAAGCAGTTGTCCCCATTCTGAACACACAGTATAGCAGTGATGTCCTGTGGTCTACCAGAAGCTCAATAAACCTGTGCTTTGTGATCCCATCAGGGGAGACTTCTAGTCTAGGCACTGCATGTGCAATGTTGCATTTCATCTTGTGTCATCTGAAGCTTTATGTCAACAATAACAAAAAAATCATTTGTAGAGCTCTGATCTTGATAACTCAGTTATCTGCTAAAGTCCTTCTGTATCTTTCATGCTGCTCTGAAGGATGCTGTTAACTGTTAAACACTCTATATCACTTTCCTTATACTGAGTCGGTATAGGCTGAGCCATTTAGGCTAGTATCATCTTGTGTGAATGGCCACCTCTTTAAGGTTTGACATGATAGGTGTCTCCCCAGCGGCAAACCCAGTTTTCATTGTCCAGAAAGCAGTTTATCAGAGAATCTATGAAGTTCTTCTCGGTGACTTGGATTTAATCTTCAAATGATCCAGTAAACATACTTCTTTCACTGTCAGTAAAATCTGCCCCAGAAAAGGCATTCTTTTCATTAACATTAATTCTTTCCATTTACTCTGTTCTTGAGTTGTCTCAAGAAAGAATGATCAAAGCTATTCGTGTGAAAGTTTTTCTTCATCCTGTCCTTTGTTAAAAATTACCTAGAATTCTTCGGTGCATAGAAAAAAACATATCTTATGGGGCTTTTCTCTTATTTTTGGGTGAAAGATAACATTTGCAAGCAATTGTGATTTGTCCAGTTGTTGTTTTATCAATATACGAAGGTAGAAAATGTGTTTTTGGGTGACAGCATAACTGAAATAACATAGGCCAGTGTTGTCCAAACTTGGCCACTTTAAGATGAGTGGAC